TGAGAGGATTTTCATGGAAAATCTCAACTCTGACTCTACTCTCATTGTTGAACTGATTCATTGTGCTTGATGCATTCAGCTGCCATCTCAAATGTCCTTGGGAGATGATAAAAAGCCTTCTCTAACATCGCAGAAAGAGCAAGGGTCTTTGCCACTTCATGTGCTATGGATCAATCCTCTTAAAATCATCTGAGAAAAAGAGTTGATTTTAGTAGTAGTATTTTCTCAACATAGATAAATAATATTTACTTCATAGTAAAAATAGGTTCCGAGGGCACTAATTGCCACCTAAAGAGGTTGCTGATTCTGTGTCCTCTCTGGGAGGAGGAAGGCCCCTTACCTAGAGCTCAATCCCAGCCCTCGGGCCTTAAGGGTATGTGTGTGGGGGGGAGTGGTGGGTGGGAGGCTGTTCGAGTGTTTCCCCAACAATGCAGAAACCCATTTACCTGTTATATTGGTGTCTGGCTCTGCAAAGCAATGTTTCATTGCTTTGAAATAAAAATAAATAAATAAATAAATAAAGCGAAAACCAGAAGTGGCTTCACTGTGTCAGCATCTGCACGTGGGTCCCCTTTCCCTTGCTGCCCCCCTGGCTAGGCTGGGGGTAAAGGGCAGGAAAGAGGGAGGGCTGCTTGCAGGGGGACAAGGTGCCTGACCCTGACGACAGGGCACTTCTTTCCCTCTGATCTTCGCCTTCTACCTCCTCAAAACACAGCCACGGGAGAACTGGACTCAGGTGACCCGGTGACCGAGAGCCACACCATGGGTCAGATTAGGGCTTCCCCTCCTGCGAAGGCCAGCCGGGTAGGGTGATCTGGCTGGGAAAACAACACCAGATTGAAAAGGTATCTTTTTCTCATATTCCCAAGTAGATCCTGGGGCATCAGGTGCTTTGCCAGCCTGCTCACTGCTGGTGGCAGAGCTGAACACGTCTTTCCATAGAATGGGAATAGACACATACAGAGTCAAAATATGCCCTTTGCCTACTCCCTCTGGTCCTCTCAGTGCTGGCATTTTCCCCAGAGCCAGGTTCTCTTCACAAAAACAGCATAAGCCTAGCCGCTCACAGCAAGTTTTTGACTCCTGTGGAGCTTAAAAGAAGCCAGATGGCCCTTTCCTTGATCTCTTTGTTAAATTACTTCTAATTCCCAGACAATGATATTTTAATTATTCGAGGCCCCTAGGGATGGAGTTGCCATCATTCTTTCGCAACATTTACAATTATGGTTTGCTGAGGCTAAAACCTGATTACTAGGGTTCTACTCTATCCCTAGTATAAATTCTTGTTCTGTTTCTTTGCCCTTAGGAGCCATGGGCATGTGTCAACCGGCTTACATAAAGATGCCTTCATCCTTTTGTTGACTTCCACACTCCTCCTTTTTAGAGTATTCTGATTTCTCAGAAAGGTGTTAACTTTGGCGTGGAGAGGTCTACTCTCCTATGGTTGCCTTCCTGTCTTCACCTGGACAGTCAGGAGTTCTGGAGGGAGGACGGCTGGGAGGAAGTGACAGGCAGCTTCCCTCCAGACAAGCAAACAGGAGGATGAGAGAAATAGTCTGTTCCTTTGGCTGGATTTCCCAGTCACAGGGAAGCCTATTGGGTCAATAAGATGGAAGGCAGCTGTAACTAATAGCTTCTGAATCAAAGCCGGGAAAAACTCATGAATCAAGCCAAAACCTAGGACCACAAGACCAAAAGAACTTTCTAGGAACAGGCAGAAAGCAGACAGCTGGAGATCTTTCTGCTTCATGTGGCCATGCACACGAATAGATATTCCATGCCTAAGGTGTGAAAAATAAAAGAGGCAGGGCTGGTCAGAGGACAAATAGAAATCAAGTTCACCAAACTGCAGCCTTTAAACTATACTTCTTCAAGTCCTTTTGGTCCTCAGCCTCCTAGGGGTTGTCTGGAGGGCTAGAGAAGATTCGACAGTTCCATTTTTGGTGGAGAGCAGATATCACCTAGTCCTGTGTGGATGCGGTTCGCTGATTTCATGACTTGTATCAATGTGTCATGATGACAGGCACCCCATGTGAGTCTCACACTGGTCTATCAGGGTCAGGATAGGGAAGATCCACTGCCCGAAACAGCAGCACAGGGCATGGTGCCCTTGTCACAGCTGACAGAGAAGGAGTCTGTGGGGGTGAGGGGACCATGCTGGCCAGGCAGGACTTTGGGGAGCAGCTGGCTTGAACCTGGCACTGGGCACTAGTCAGTGAGACCTGGTGATGCAAATGAAAAAGTTCTAAAGGAAAATAGAAGGCAGCAGAAAAAGTTGAGAGAGACTGTGCATGGTCAGTCAAAACCCCAAATTCCTTCTCTAGAGGGCAAACATTCACAAGACTCAGACATGAGTTCAAAAGGGCTCCTCTCTCCATCATAACTGGAATCTTAGTACAGTTTGGGGAAGCTGGACAAAAGATGAAACCGAAACTCAGTTCTCGAAGACCTTGCTGGCACTGAGAAGGGACCAAGAAAGTCTGGATGGTTGGGCTGAAGAATCATGAAGAAACTGTTTCTAGAGCTACACTGACGTGGGAGTGTCTGGCACATTACTTTTTCGCGAATCAGTCCCTGAAGGAACAACTGGTTGTCACTGAGGAATGGACTGTCCCCTACTTTAATTTCTAGCTCAGTCTTCTAAGTGCCGAGAGGGGCTGAGAGAGCACTGGGCCTAAAGAGATTCAATGGGTAAGTTCTGGGTGAGTGGTTGAGGCCCATTTTACCCCAAAGCAGCCCCTTCTCAGCCATGGTTGTTGAAATTTATCTGAAGGACAGCACCCCTGGAGTGATATTCTAGGTAGATGCCAACAGGCATAAGAGAAGCCCCCAGAAAATTTATTTCTGCCACCAATATGACCTCTAGATGCCTCCTCCCCATCCTGTCCCTTCCATGTGCATAAGGATGGGTCTGGGCTAAAGCCTGCTCTGGAGTGAGGAAAGGATGGAGGAAGAGCCTGGCAGAGGTGGCTGCCGGATGGCTCCCTTTCACCCACCTGCCTTTTTCCAGCCACTGCTGTCCGCATGGACGCAGAGCAGCTGCCAGAGGTGAGGATGCCCCTCCCTCCAACCTGCCTGACCTTAATTCCATCCTCTCAGTCAATGTACACTTTCCTGAGGAAACCAATGAGAAACATCTGTCCTGGGAGTAAATGGAAGGTCAGCCGTGGCTGCTGTGGGGCTGCTGCTGCCAGCTTGGTGGCTAAGGCCAGGCAGACGCCTCCCACTCCTCATGGTAAAGGGCTCTTCCTGGAGAAGGCCCATCCTTGAGAGAGAGCTTGAGCGGAGCAGATAGAGTGAAGACTGGAATAAAATAAGTCCTGGGCTCTCAAAATAAGGGATGGTATGAATATGCCTATCATAGATTTTGGAAAAATTGAAGGAAATGGAAGCGAACACAAGATATGCAAAACAGTAATGTCCAAACCTGTTTGTGGATTAATGACTGACACTGGTGGTATTTTTGCTCATTAGTACAAATTAAAAGAAAAATCATTCCCTTTCCCCCAACCACATATAGAAAAGCACTTAAGAGGTCAAAGGTAAAGCTTGTCACACTCCAAATACAAAATGATTTACTTTACATGCAGCAAAATATACAAGAAGTGAATTCAAAAACAAACTTAATTCAATTCATTATATTCGCTTGGCACAATTGCAATTCAGTTTTTAAAAAAATATTTGAAAAATACTGAAACTGACCTGAATTCAAGTATAACGGTTTCTTCAACAGAAACATTATCAATGCAATAAAACATTACACGGAATATATCGAAGCAAAATGCTTTCTTGAGTTTTTTCCCTTAAATTTCTCTGTGTTTTTTTAAGTACAGTTTTAATGCCAACACAACTCACAATTGTATTTTTAAAATGAATATTATTGCATTGTTTTTGCATATCTTGTGGGACAGAAAATGCAAAGAGTTACTGATTCCCGTTTCAGAAGCAGAGACAGTGGTTTGTTTTTGCTTTCAAATGGCTCCAGATTCAGATCTCCCCACAGCTGAACCAGAAGAGGGGAAATGCATATGCACTGGTGTGCACAGGCACACGTGTGGGTGCTCATCCACACACGGGACATGCGCACTGACAACCCATTGGCTACACACGCGGTCACAGAGACTCTCTCTCTCCTGCACCCACCTGTACACCCAGCATCAAAAGGAACCTAACCCAATCGCCCATATGTGCAAGATCCTATCAAGTGCATTGCCAAACCTTTAAATTATACAACCAAACCAAACCAGAAAAAAATCATTAGTACCTAAGGAAATTATAACAAATTATTGGACATACACAATGGCTGGTGGCTTCTATTAACCCCTCCGTTGGAAAAAGGAAACCACAACCATTTAAATAATACAATGAAACCAAACCTGATTTACATTTGCAAAAGTGAAAACAATAAGTTGGGTGGCTACAGAACTTTGTAAACACTCTTCTTCCTCCCCTCCCCCTGGGAAAACAAAATTAAAAAAAAAACACCAAAAAAAAAAAAAAGAAAAGAAAAGAAAAAGAAAACTGCAACATGCGGTCAAGAAAAGTGTCAAACCACAAAACAAAGGCGCGCTCAACAGAAGCTCAGCACCACCTGTCTGCGGAGGGCTGGCGGGCCCTTCCCGGGTGGCCAGCTCTGTCCTCGCTGCCGCTGCCGGTTGGCCCGACTGCTGGTCTGGAGCTCCACGTGGCTTATGTAGGTTAAAGAGATCCTGTCGCAGGGGGCAGAGGTGGCTGGGCTGCCGCCACTGTGTGGGGATGTGGGGTGATGCTGTACTGCCTCCCTGGTCCCAGGACCCTCGAGCCTTTGGCTTCCTCTTTCCTCTCTGAGGTGGGCTGGGATCCTTGCTGGAAGTCCTGCCTGCTCCCCTCTCCAAATCCACAGGGCCCTGGCTCTATGGAGACAGCAAGGCTCATACAGAATATGCGCAAATGATTTTTTCTTTTTTTTTTTACAAGCAAAGTTGAAAGACACCCGTTTGACACAGGGTCCTTTTGGTGAGGGCTATTGCAGGACACTGAGGTTTTCTCTCCCACCCAGCAGTGGCTGCTGGCTCCCATGGCAGGGCCTGAAATATAAGGAGAGGTCCCTTGTCCCCTGCCTCTCCTGCCCACTCTCTGCTGCCTCCTCAGCACTCTGCCTCTGTGCACACAAACTGGCTGCTGCCGCTCTTCCCCCTGAAAACGCACTCTCCACACCACCCAACTCTGCGTCTTGTCCCGACAGAAATGAATGAAGACGCTGTTCCGGTTAACTCCAGGTCACGAGAACAGTGAGGCACTTCTGAAACGAACCCATTAGGAACATTGAAACAAATAAAAAACCCAGCATCTCCCCAGCCCTGGCAACTACAGGCTGCTGACATAGACCCTGCTGTCCTGGAGCTCCTCCTCGCTCTGCCGACGCCCCAGGGCATGTGCACAGCTCTCGTCCTCCTCGCCCCCTGCTCGGTCCTGCCCCGGGTCCCTGCAGTTCACAAAAGGTAAGAGGGTGCCATTGGGGCTCTGCTGGGCGCCCCCACTGAGGATGTTGTCAGCAGCACTCTCCATCTCCTCTATCGTCATGTCGCAGGCATCAGCCAGCTCCTGGGTTGTGACCTCGATGAACTTGGGGTCCTGTGCAAACTGCCCCAGTCCTTCTGAAATCAAGACCTGGAGAGGTGGAGGTGGAGGGCCGTGAAGAAGAAGGAACATTGTTACTGGGGCTCAGCTCCTCTCTTGAGGGCCAGACCAAAGGACTTTGGATGGTGACTTCGGGAAGTGTGCACCATGGGGGAGGGGTGAACAGAGGAGCTAAGCATCAGCCAAAGGGATTAGGGCCGTGTAGGCTGGAGGAAGGAAGTTCTGGTCAGGGAATTCAGAGACTGTCATGAGATATATAAAGACCTGGCTGCAGAGGGGCTGCAGGGGCTCTGCTGTGTGTGCAGTTCCCTCCCTGGCACCCACAGATGCCTTTCATATTGTTTCCTCTAGTCACCATCATTCTCCTTTGGTGAAATTGGTAACCTATGCCTACCGCCCACTGTTGGCTGGTTCCCCTCTGGGGAGAAGGCCTAGAAGTGTGTGTGCACATCCCTGCCTCTGCTGCTGCTGGGAAGGACCAGAAGGTGACCCCCCAAGCTTCCCCACCACCAGCTGCTCCAGTGCCTGGCTCTGGGGAACTTTGGCTCCTGAGCCCCAGGGTGGGAGGAAGCAGCAGAGTGCAGCCTGGAACACCCGCCTCCCTGGTGTCCTGCTCCCCTGCCCACATCGCTCTTTTTTTTTTTTTTTGAGACAGAGCCTCAAGGTGTCCCCCTGGGTAGAGTGCTGTGTCATCACAGCTCACAGCAACCTCCAACTCCTGGGCTCAAGCAAGTCTCCTGCCTCTGCCTCCCAAGTAGCTGGGACCACAGGCGCCTACCACAATGCCCGGCTATTTTTTGGTTGCAGCCATCATTGTTATTTTTGGTGGGCCTGGGCTGGATTCGAACCCGCTACCTTAGGTGTATGTGGCTGGCGCCTTAGCCACTTGAGCCACAGGCACTGAGCCACCTACATTGCTCTTTTTCTCCTTGGCCCTGTTTAGTTTATTGACCCTCTCTCCCCATCACAAGGTGAGCTCATGAGAAGCAGCCCTAATTCTCAGCTGTAGCTCAGTACCTGGAATGGGATCTGCTTGTGGTAGGTACTTAGGAGCGGTTTGTGAGATGAATTAAGGACAATGGAGGCCATGCTGAGCCTCAGAGGCTTAGCGTTAAAAGGGAGCTTTGCAGATGTCTGGTTTAGCTCCCACCTCCTGCATGGTAGCCTGATGGATGGCTGGATGGGCCCTGCCTCTGCTTGCATATGTCTGGATATGAGGGAGTTCACTACTTTTTAGGACAGCTCTCCCTTGTTTGGGGAGAACTTAGTTGGGAAAGTCTTCTTCCCGTGAGCTGCAATGCAGACCCCTGCCTAGGCTGTGACCCTTCCCTGCATTGCCCACAGTCTCTGAGGTCATCTCTCCGGGTTTACTTCCTGAATTCCTCTGACCAGCTCTCCTATGAAATAATTTCTAGAAAACTTGCCATCCTGGTCATCTCCTGGGACTGTTCCAATTTGTTAAAGGTCCCTGAAAACGTGGTGCCACAATTTCCCTAGATGCTGTGATTTGGCACAGTGCAGGGGAACTGGAACAGAAAGCATTCTTGTTCTAGACTAGTGGCTCTCAACGTTGGCTGTGCATTGGAGTCATCCAAGAGCTTGTAAAGGTATCAGTTCAACAAGTCATGGGTTTCTAGGGCTCCCGGGTGGTTGTCCCCAGCGGTCAGGTTTGAGCATCACAGATCCTGACCCTTCCATGGGTACAAATGCAGCCCGGGAACACGTGCATTTTGAGCAATCGTAGTAGCATGCTCTTGGCTCTACAGTGGGGCCTGGGGCCTTTCCTGGGTTCACTGGCCTGTGGCAGGGCTATGTTGCTCAGAAGGTTCTTTCTCTCTCTACAGTGGGCCCAGCTTCTCACATGATCATAATTCCCTGCAGGCCAGGCCCTCCTTCTGCAGGCCAGAGGTGGAGGGCCTTTCTGGCACAGAGACTTGACATGCAATCAATTGGGGAAGTACCCTGTGCACCCTTCTTAGCACCCATGTCAAGCCCCCTTGCTGCCCATGGCCTTCCCCTTGGTGTGGGAGTTACCTACCGCTTCCACCAGGCTGCTGGCACTGCCGTGGAACTGCCCGCCCCTTGCCCCGGCTTGGCTGGGCACCGTGAGGGAGACAGGCCGGGCCCTCCGGGCGGCACTGCTGCCCCCACCACAGGGGACTGGCCCCTCAGCCCAGGAGCCGCAGTGGATGGACGGGAAGCTGCTGTTGAGCTTCTCGCTGGACTCGGCCCCCTCCAGCCGCAGGGTGGGGATGGGCTGGGGGAGCCAGCCACGGCTGCCCGGAGTGGCAGGGGGGGTGGCGAACGGCCTGGGGGCCGAGGTGGGGGAATGGCTTCTCTGGAGGAGGGGGCTCAGGCCTGCCACTGCCAACGCCTGCGGACACAAGGAGCACGAGTTATCGAATTATCAGGTTATTGGGAGTGGTTGACCAGAGTGCCGGCTGCCTTCTGAGCAACCACTGCTTGCTTTCCAGCCAGTTCCCCTGCCTAGAAGTTACACTGCTTCCTCCTCATTCATCTGAGTCCACCTCAGCAGTGGACCTGGTGTAAGTTTCAACTATCTCAAATCATACTTTACAATCATCTCAGTCTGAAGTGATCTCCTCCAGCCCTAGGAAGCTGTGGTTGAGTGGGACCAAGGTAATCTGGTGGTCAGCACTGTCAGCTGTCCTGCATTTCTCATCAACAGACTCAAGGGAATGGTGATGCCTGCACATCTGTAAGCTGGAACATTAATGGCCTCTCTCGCCACCTACCTTGTGGGCTTGGTATGAACTTGACGTGAAATAAGATTTGCAAGGAAGCATACTGACATTACAAAGACCTAGAGAAAGCCAGTGTTTGTTGCTTTAATTTTTACAATTAATTGGGCCATAAACAATGCCCTGCAAATCTCTGGCTCAGGCTGTATTTGAGCCATTGTCCAAATCACATGCTATATTGTAATTACATGATTTACATGGTGTGTCCTCTGTCTCAGACGGCCTGCATCACAGCTGCCATGATGACCTGCTCTGGACAGAGGTCCCGCAAGAGTCTGGGAGACAGTGACACTGAGTGGTAGGAAAAACAGCTCTGAGAGGCACAGAACGGGACCACCACCCCACAGGTGCGAGGGGAGGAGACAGAGATGAAGAGGGTCCAAAACCAAGAAGAGTATTGCCTACCAGCCTGATGAGAACAGCAGGGTGGGACCAACTTCTAGAAATCTTTTAAAATAACACAAACCATGTCTCTACATCTGGCCCCCTCTTCTCCCCATCTCACAGTGGTCCCCATCCTGGGGCTCCTGGGGCTCTGGAGATTTGAGGGAGTAAAGACCATGTCAGACCACGTCAACATTTTGGAAAGCCCGTTGGAAACCATGCACATTTAGGCAATGCCACAAAGGCTAAGAAAAACAATGCATTGTTTTGAGGAATATCAACTTGGCTGAGCCACACTCTCTTACACTGGTGCACTGGGCAGCTGAATGCCTCTGGGCACCAAAACTGCCTAAAACATGGGTCAGTGGTATCTAATCACAAAGGTAAAAAGGTTGGGAAAGCAGGTCTAGGCCCCAATTTGCCAGCAGTTAGACTGGCCTCAGGTAACTCTTTAAAGTTTCCCTTAGTTCTAAGCTACTAAGAACCTGTTTGATACTGTGTTGGATTTCACTGTCTCAGCTGGAGTCAGCTCTGCTGGGAGAGGAGTTCATCTACTGAGTCTCTCCGGACCTGTTTCCCTTGGGTATCGTTCCCTCTTCTTGTTGGTTCTCTGATCATTTCTCTATGTCAGTGGATGGATTTCTAAATCCATCCAGCTAAATTTCCAGGTGTCTTCACACTCTAGGTACCACCACACCAGCCTGAGAGCCCTGCGGCCTAAGCCAGCTTCTTTCTGGTGGGGAATGTCTGCAGCACCGTAAGAAGAAAGCTTGGGTGGGACCCTCCTCTTCAGGATCACCAGAAGAGTTCCTGTGCCAGTGTGTTCTATTTCTACCTGTGACATGACAGACGCCCTCACCAGCATAGGAAAAGCAAGTCCTACTGGGGGCTGCCAGGGCGAGGGAGGAGGCCCCGGTGGTCTGAGACAAGGAAGACCAACTCGGGATGCGTCTAGCTTGGTAGGTGGTGGCCAGTGGCCTATCCAAAAGTAAGAGCTACCTGATGATGAACCAGGTGCAAGGGCAGGACTGTCTTCTGAGAGATGTCTCCCCCTTGGTTCTTCTGTCGTTTCAGACATTCCAGGTGGAATGAGGCCCTTCGACCTGCAAAGCCAGCCAAAGATCCAGGGTCAGGTCAGGGATAGAGGACAGTGGCCTGTGATAGCCCAGACCCAGACCCAAGGAGCAGTGTTTGTGGCCCTGGGTCCACCTTCTCCCCAGCCCCTGCCTTTGTCTCTGAGATACACTGAGCAACATCTGACCCAGGCCCGCCCTGGCAAACCCTGCCTTTGGAATTCTGATTTGTCATTTTGGAAATCTGCCCAGCCCACTGCATGGAGGCTATTGGCACCAGGCCACGTGGTCACTCAGTCACGGTTAAGTACCCAACCAGTGCTCTCTTCAGGGTGACCATAGCCACATTGGATAGCAGGGTGTGTGTTTACCTAGCGAGGCAGAGCGAAGGAAGCCCTTCTTTGGGGATTGCCGAATGTCCCTCTTGTCCTCTGGGGGTGTCAGCTGCCGATTTTCATCATCTTGATAGGAAAGCCTGGAACAGAGAACTCTTGGGGCTTGTTCCTGAGGCTGAGAAATGCTACCCACTGGACCTGCTGTCACCCCAGAGCACACTCTGCTGTTTTTCTTAGTGAAGGCCCCCTCCTTTGTGCTTCCATACAGATTTGGGGAAAACTGCTGCCCAGGAGAGTCTGCCGGGCACCCTGGCCCAGCAAGGGCTTCCAGGCCTGCTTGCTGTGGGTTCCCAGCTCCTTCCTTACCCACAGTCTCTGATGAGTGTTGCTTTTCTGATTTGGGCAGTGGGAGGTACTCTTGGGCAGAAGTGTTTTGAAAGTTGAAAAAATCCTAGGCCTGCCTGGTTCTTTGAAGGAAAAGCCCAGGCTCTGTGCTGGCTACTGCTGCTTATCACAGTTGCCCTCGGCTGCAGCCTGGACTTCCCTTCACCCCTGAGAACACACCAGCTGTCAGTCAGAGAAGACAGGGCTGGAAAGGGCCTGCGGGCATCTTGTCAATGGCTTCAAGTTCTCTGATGGTAATTCACAGCAAGAAATACACAGAGGGTGTCAAAAACATGTGTACACATTTTAAGAGAGAAAAAAAGTATTAAAACGGTAAGGGTCAGTATATACCAATAACATTTGTTATCTTGTAGATTGTATCTCCTGTAATTGCAGACGTCAAACATGACTTGAGGGTTACTATTTTAATACAGTTTTTTCTTCTCTTAAAATATGTACACATGTTTTTGGGACCCTCTGTATTTTACACGTTCCTAGTACGCACAGATATTCCTCACTGAAACCACACAGCTTGTGCTTACCCTCCCCGCAGGCATTCCACCCTGATAAGTTCTAGTCTGCTTTAGTCTGTTCCATTTTATTAACAACTGTCAGCAGCAAGCCCATGAAATGGATCTCACAATCCCTAGTGGTGAGGCCTACAGTCCAAGAAGTGCAGTTCATTCCTACCTCAGGGGCCAGCTGAGGACACTGGTTCTGTCCCTTGGGCTGCCTCTCCGTGCTGGGTGATCTGCCTGCTCCTGGCCCAGCCTAGCAACTTCAGGCATTTGTAGATGTGCAGCAACATTTGTTGAGTGAAAACCTCACATATTTAGGCCTCTGATCTTTGTTTTCATTCTTGGCTAGGTAAACCCTTCTGTTATACACTAGGACTTCTATAAGTGGACCACCCAAAGGACCATAACAAACTAGTCAACATATGGAGGTGGTCAACATAAGGAACTAGGTCTACGGTACTGATATGTACATGTGGTGCATGTCTAGTCTATGAAAATCAGGTCAACTTAAGGAGGTGGTCAGCTGGGAGCCTGGAGAACCTATGGAAGTTCTACTGCATTTTCTTCTTAGGCAATTCCTCCCCATGCTTGCAGCCCTGGCTTTTGTTTGACCTTGTGTAGGACCCATTAAGCCTGCCCTGCCCCTCAGCCTTCTCTGAATGCCTGTACATCTCAGGGTTTGTATCATTCTGTAGGCAATTAGTTAGAAAATCACTACGTCATCTTCCTCTTCTGAGATCATCTTAGCTTCCTCACTAGTTTCTAAAATCTCCATGAAGGTAATGATCCATTTACTCATGACCTTGCAGAGTGTCTGGATGGACCCAGCACTCAGTGAGAGCTGAAATGGGTTAAAGCATATGCTTTTCTTGATTTCTAGAACAGGTAGCCATATGTTAATTTGTACTTTCTTTCTTTCTTTTTTTTTATTGTTGAGGATTCATTGAGGGCACCAGGTTACACTGATTGCTTTTGTTAGATAAGGACCCTCTTATATTTGTGTCCCGCCCCCCAAAGGTGTACCACATCCCTTGACCTGCCACCCCTCCCTCCTTTCTAAAAATCAATTTGGAGAAAGGTATATCTTAAGGAACTCCAGATATTTCCTTAGGTTCTATATATACCTATATATATACCTATATACCTATATATACCTTTTCATTGAGTCAGAAAAATAGGTCATTTACCCCTAATCCCTCTGTTTTGCTGAAAGGGACACAAAGGCACGGGTGCTTAGTGTTGCTGGTCTCAACTACTATATCCATGTTTTTCCCTTCTAGATTCTTCTTTTTACATTAGGGGAATAGGAAACACCTCTGCTACTGTTCCAACCCAGTTCCTGGGCTCAAAACCCTGGAAAAAGCAGGCCATGGCTGCTCCCTCTCCCAACACTCCTTGTGTGTGAGGGCTGGTCCCTTTCTCATCATCTTCAGCTACCCTGTTCTTTTCTTCAAAAGCCTAAAAGGCTGTAGCTTCCTTACTGTCAAGTGCTTTCAGGGAAGCTTCTATAAAACAGCGAGTCTTCATTTGTTTTGAATGCAACCCAAAGTCTTAAAGTTGTTTAGAAAGACTCAACAGACATATGCATATATTGGCAATTAAACTAATGTTTCAGGACACAATACTTACCATTCTGACATCCCATACTTTCTGATATTCTCTATTGTGCTGTGCTATTCTTTTAAAAGTACTAGCTGTTAGAAGCCTTTGTGTATACCAATAACAACCAAGATGAGAAGCTAATCAAGGACATAATTTCCTTCACAGTAGCTTCAAAGAAAATGAAGTATCTAGGAATATATCTAACAAAAGAGGTGAAGGACCTCTATAAAGAGAATTATAAAACCCTAAGAAAAGAAATAGTGGAAGATATTAACACATGGATGAACATACCATGCTCATGGCTGAGGAGAATAAACATTGTTAAAATGTCTACACTTCTCAAAGCAATCTAAGATTCAATGCAATTCCCATACTTTCACAATTTTTCAAGATTTGGAAAAAATAATTCTTTGTTTTGTATGCAACCAGAAGAAACTTGTTATAGCCAAGACAATCCTTAGTAATAAAAACAAAGCCTGGGGCGTCAACCTATCAGACTTTAGGCTGTACTACAAGGCCATAATGATCAAAACAGTATGGTACTGGCACAAAAATAGAGACATTAAAGTTTGGAACTGAATAGAAAACCATGAAAAGAAACTAATATCTTACAGCCACCTAGTCTTTGATAAACCAAACAAGAACATACCCTGCGGGAAAGACTCCTTATTTAATAAATGGTGTTGGGAGAACTGGATATCCACATTTAAAAGACTGAAACTGGACCTGCACCTTTCTCCACTCACTAAAATTGATTCAAGATGGATAAAAGATCTAAATCTACACCATGAAACAATAAAAATCCTCGAAGAAACTGTGGGGAAAATACTTGAAGTTATCAGACTGGGGAAGACTTTATGAAGAAGACTTCAGTGGCAATTGCAACAACAAAAATAAATAAATGGGACTTAATTAAATTGAATAGCTTCTGTATAGCTAAGGAGACAACAACCAAAGCAAATAGACAACTATTGGAATCGGAAAACTATCGGAATAGGAAATAAAATTTGCATATTATGAATCAGACAAAAGCTTAATAACTAGGATCTATAGAGAACTCAAATTAATCAACATAAAAAAGCCAACAAGCCCATATATCAATGGGCAAGAGAGATGAATAGAACCTTCTCTAAAGAAGATAGACAAACGGCTAACAAACATGAAAAAATGCTCATTGTCCCTAGTTATCAGAGAAATGCAAATCAAAACCACCTAAGATACCACCTAACCCCAGTGAGAAGGGCACACATCACAAAATCTCAAAGCTGCAGATATTGGCGTGGTTGTGGAGAGCAGGAAACACTTTTACACTGCTGGTGGGACTGCAAACAACCTTTTTGGAAGGAAGTATGAGAACTCTCAAAGAACTCAAACTACACCTCCCACTTGATCCTGCAATCCCATTACTGGGCATCTAGCCAGAAGAAAAAAAATCATTTTATCACAAGGACATTTGAACTACACTCTGTATCACAGCTCAATTTACAATTGCCAAACTGTGGAAAAAACCTAAATGCCCACCAATCCAAGAATGGATTAATAAACTGTGATGTATGTATATCATGGAATACTATTCAGCCACTAAAAAGACGGAGACTTTACATCTTTTATATTAACGTGGATGGAGTTGAAACACATTCTTAGTAAAACAACACAAGAATAGAGAAGCAAGAATCCAATGTACTCAATTCTGATAGGAGGACAACTGATGACCTAGTAAGTGGTTGGGGGGTAGGGGGAGGAGGGATCAGAGAGAGAGAAGGAGGGAGGGGGTGGGAGGTCACGGGGTGTGACATACCTCTTGGAGGTGGGACACAATTATAAGAGAGACTTTACCTAACAAATGCAATCAGTGTAACCTTGTTCTCTGTACCCTCAATGAATCCCCAACGAATCCCCAACAATAAAAAAATAAAAAGTACTAGCTATAACTGACCAAACAAAAGGAAGTTGTAAACTTATTTGTCTAGATCTGTAGTTAAAAAAAACCCTTTTCCAGCCAGGTGGAGTGGCTCACACCTGTAATCCCAGCACTTTGGGAGACTGAGGTGGAAGGATTGCTTGAGGTCAGGAGCTGAAGACCAGCCTAGGCAACATAGCAAGACTATGTATCTACAAAAAATAAAAAAATTAGCTGGGCGTGGTGGTGCACACCTGTAGTCCCAGCTACTCAGGAGGCTGAGGCAGGAGGATCACTTGCGCTCAGGAGCTGAGGTCGTAGTGAGCTATGATGATGCCACTGCACCCTGTCTCAAAACACAAAAACAAAACCCATAAAATTTCTGCAGGGAAACTTCAGCCCTGGATTTGCCAACAGTGCCCTCTTATGGGCAGCTTTATTGTGAAGTAGTTTTGTGAAATATTTAATTGTCAGTATATGTACTTGTGTACTGAATCTCACTAGAAAATATGTTCATAACTGTTGGCTATAGCCTAAAAAGTTTAAGAAACAATGTTTAGACATTTTCCTGAAAGCATGTTATAGTGAGGAAAGGCCAAGTTAAAAGGGATTGTGTGTGGTGCGTGTGGTGGGAATTTCCTGTCCCCTCTGTGACACATCCTCGCCTCTCCTCTCCCAGCCATACCCAGAGGAGGGATTTCAAGAACTGTCCCTTCCTCTCCAGACCCTTCCCTCCTCTAGTCGCCCCAGCAGAAGGCAGCCAAGCTCACATGTCTGTGGAGAGCAGGCTGGGCTCACTGCAGGATTCAGTGTCTTCGCTCCTCTGGACTTCATAGGTCTCGCCAGGAAACACCTCCTCCGGGCACACCATAGCTATTTGGCTCTCCCGGGAGTGGCACCTACGATGACCAGGATGGAGAATACATCAGGAACTGCCAGGCCCCCTCCCTTCCCTCAGCAAGTGAGGCAGCACACACCCCTGTACACACACCCCTGCACACACCCCACACAGACACAATTGACATGCCTCTTCCTCCTGCACTTGCCAGTAGGCAAGATTAGGGTAACTGTTTCATGTGGGAGAAGGAACTGGGTCAGGACCCAAGATCTAAGTTCTGACCCCTAGTTCACTTACTCTCTGGCCCAAGTCACTTAATCCACCCCATGCCTCAGTTTCCCTTTCTGTAATATTGGAATAACGTATGTCCTGCCAACTCAGAGGCTTGTTGTGAGTAGCAAATAAAGTAACAGGTGACATGGAGCTTTGGGGGGGGGGTACAAAGAACCAGCTTTTAAAGAAGGGTCCAGGACTGTACTATATAAGGCAGAGGGCCCTGTGAAAGAGCTGTCCCCTCTGCTGGAGACAGCTGGGCCTTTGGGCATCTATGTGGTAAGCTGGGAAGCTCCTGGTATCTTTGATTCTGCCACTGGCTCCCTGGAGTAAAAGCACAGAGAAGAAAACTCACATAGAAGCATTTGTTCTCCCGAGCAGAGGGGAGTGAGCCTGGAGCCCTGCTGTCCCTGAATCCCTCCTGAGCTCCAGAGCCTCCCGTACCAGCATGTGATTCGCCCGCTGGACCAGGGTCTTCTGTCCTCTGGCCCAGCAGACAGAAGAGTGAGCTCTGATCTGAGTGCTCCTTGTCCTGTTGGTACTCAGCTCACTACCTCCCCCATCTTTCTCCCTACAGACCCTGCACACTGGGCCCACTGTATCTTCAGACCCCTGGGGCTTTAGGGAAAGGTCCCAGTTTGTCCTTGGAGTGGAGTGCTGTATCACTGCCTCTCACTTTGTCCTATGCCCATGAGCAAAGCAGGCAGGTGGGAAGGGCTCTCCAGGGGAGGCCTACAAACCCCTGCCCACCTAAAGTCGAAAGGAGAATGATGCCGGAGATCTAGGTGGAGTGGGATGGGCTGCAGGAAGGCACAACAGGATGGGCTGGAGACGCAGACTGGCGTCAGGCAGCATCACTTCTCAGGGGACTTGTGTGCACAGAATGAGCTGTCCTAATCTCAGCAGAAGCAAGGCAGATGCCAGAGCCACCACCCTTAGCCTCAGCTGCAACATAGAGGACATGGCCCCAGGGCTATGGTTTCTTCACCAGTTGAAGCTTAGCACCCTGAGTACTGTGTTTACCAATTGCAATGGGAAGGGAGGGAACTGACGTTTAGTGAGCACTTACTATGTGCTGAGTGCTTTGTGTGCATTTCATTTCACTGACTGATGCATTTGTGGGGAGAAGGGACTTCCCTGGTGTCTTCTATGTCAGCTCCTCTCTAAAAATCACTCTTCTCTTAGCCAAGAATGAGGCCCTGGGACTCACTTCCATTTAATGTGGAAATGCCCTTAGATGGAGGAAACTTAATCTACCCTGAAATGCTGTGGACGTGAAGAACCCTCTTTAAGAAGAGGTTTTGTTAAGGGGAACAGGGAAAAAAGTGGTGCTAGGATTGAATCCTCAAAGGTTGTAAGAGAAAAGTGAGGTCCCGGCAAAGGGAGTGGCTGCCAGGACAGGCATAGGCAAGCCACTCAGTGTACGCTCTTGTGCAAAGCCAGCCCTCAGGTCAGCACATAACATCTGGTGGTGAGCACATGCCCATACACGGGAGGCATCATACATGTCTCCTGAGTCACAGGGCTCAGCCAAAGCTGCTGCTGGGTGGCTAAACCACCCAATTTTCCAAACAGAAAAGGAGACAAGGTGGGTGGCCAGTGTGACTTCCTGTCATCAGACATGGCTAATGCCCAGGCCTTGTAAGCCTGCACATGGCCACTTAGAGAGGGGTGCTCTGAGGGGACATGAAAGCTAGTGAGCAAGCATGCGGCTCCTTGGATGCAGGCAGCTTTGGGACACCTATCCAGGGATTTAGAAAGAAGCTTGTGCTTCTCTGTTGCTTTCTGAACTGGAGAGCAGGAAAGGAGGTGTGCTCAGGAACTGGCAAGATGGGGACTGTGCAGTCCGTGGGGAGCAGCTGTCCTACTCCAGAAGAGGTACAAGTGGAACGAGGCAGGGTCTGTCTGTTCCCACCTGGGAAACCTGGTAGATGGGGAGAGACTCCCAGAGGCCAGGCTGCACGGCCAGGGCCCAGAGCCATAGGAGGCACCTGCCACTTAGCAAGCAGTGGCAGCGCATCCCAGAGCACCAGGAGCAGAGGACAGGGAGAGGAAAAAGAGCACCAGGAGGTGGCAGGGCCATCAAGATGAGGAATAACCCCATGCTGGGGTGGGATATGAAGTGCCCACCAAGAAAGGGTACATAGGGCTCTGATTCTCTTGGTGAAAGGCTGGGTTTGGGTGGCTACCCAAGAAAGCAAAGAATGGTAGTTTCTGTTGCATAGCCAGAATACAGCGTGTCAGAGGCTGGTGCCCTGCTCAAGAAGGATGAGGGAATCATCTTCACCACCAGTGATGTGGCTTGTCCTGAGCCAGGCTGCCTACTGAGTCTGATCTGGGGCGGCACTGCTCTCTTGCTGGGGTCTGGGGCAATGGTCTCTCTGAAGCTCTCGAGGGCTGGGGGCTGCAGAGCGCTGTGGGTGGCCCTGGGTGGCCCACCCTTCAGTTTACCTCTTGGAACTGAGCCTCCACGCTGCTTCCTGCACGTGCACAGCAGGGGACAGGGGCGGCCCATGGCCCTCCACAGTGCTGACAGTGCTGGGGGGACCGGTGGGGCGGGTTCGGCGGCCCAGGGCCGTGTTGTTGGCGTTGTTAATGTTGGCATTGGAGCCGGTGGATGAGTAGCTGCTGGGGGTGAAGGTGGAGTCCACCAGCTTCTCATGGGAGGGCGACTCGGTGTCGCCTTGGCTGTTGCCTGCCTTGTTGATGTGCAGTGGGCGCTGGGTGGTGAAGGTCTGGGGGAAGGCGCTCCGGCTGTCACTTTGGTAGTAGCTGACGTGGTTGCCGAACAGGCCACCGGCCCTCTGCAGGCAAGACAGGAAGAGGGAGTGGGAGCTCGTCCTCAGAGGGAGAAGCCCAGACAGCCAGGCCAGAGCAGTGCAGGGCGCAGGAAGGCTGCCTGCCCTCAGGAGAGGCACAGCTGCGGGCAGCATATAGGGGAAGGCAGCTTCACACCTGGCAGCTCTAGACAGGGAGGGACCCAGACGCTCAGGGTCCCACAGCGCCCTCTGCTGTGACAGTGAGGGCTGGGAATGTCCACAGCCTTGGGAACAGAGTGGCAAGGTGGCCAGCCTGGAGGTTTCCAGTGGACTCTTAAGGACTGGGCATGTCATGCTGCAACTTCTAATGTAGAAGTTTCTCATAGGAAAATGGCTCCGTCCCCTTCTCTGGAGGGCAATGACACCCTGTTGAGCCACCATCTCCTGGGAGCCCTGGCTTGGGACGGAGTCGGGCTTGGAACAGGCAGAGGGCAGAAAGACCCTGAGTCGCCCACTGAGCTCCGTCCATTCTCCTGGGACGTGCTCCGCAGGAGCCCAGCCTGAACCCCAGCCTACTTTCTTGTTCTAAACTGCACTTCATGGAGGTAAAGGGTATGCTGGCACCACCTACCCTGAAGATGTCATCTTCAGAGGCTGCAGACACAGCCTCTTTCATCGCCTTGTCCAGCTCTTCCTCAGCAGTCAGATCTCCAGAGATGGCCCGACGGATCTCGGGCCCGATGTCATGCAGTGTGCGCAAGCCAGCCTGGAACCAGAGGGATGTGTGAGGACCTTGGTTCCTTCTCACCAAGCTCTCCAGCCAGCCATTGCCCAAGGATGGGGCCTGTCCCTCCATGACCCTGGCAGATTCCACCCAGCCCTGACCCCCTGGGAAATACAGCCGTGTGTGAGCCAGGGGCCGGGCTTCCCTGGGCCCTTCTGGTGCCCTCAGGTGGAAGAATCCAATCGCCCATCAAGAAGGAAGGGGGTGCTTTAGGGGGGACTTCCAGGGGGCTGCCAGGGAGCCTCATCAGGGTAGGGGCCAGCCCTGGGGGGGTAGTGACAGCAGGTGGGATTGTGGAGGGCAGGTGGGGGGATGGCAGGAGGGGGAGAATTATAACACCCCTCCTCACAGCCCCCTTCAGAAAGGCTGGCATTCTCAGAAAGGCTCCTTCTGGAGGGACTGACCAGAGACCGGGACCCTGGCTGAGATCAGAGGAAGGTGAACAGGACCTTCCTGGGGGTGTGACCCAGACCCCCACCCCTCACCTGTAGGGACAGGGCGTTCCTCTGGGAGGGCTTGCCCACAAGGCCCTGCTCTTTGCGCTTCTTGAATTTCCGGAAGTACTCTTGGATCAGGAAAGTGGCGTAGAACTTGCCAACTGTGACCTCATCATCTGACATGTATGAAGAGAGGAGAGGGAATCAGAGGTAAGTAGGGGAGTGAAGTTGGACGTCACCGATTTTTTCAGAATTCTAATTTAACCCTTTTTTTTTTTCAGAGACCAAGTAGGCTGGAGTGCGGTGGTACAATCGTAGCTCTACCCTGACCCTCAAACTTTTGGGCTCAAGCAGGCAATCCTCCTGCCTCAGCCTCCCAGAGTGCTGGGATTCCCAGTGTGAGCCACCATAATTGGCAACTTTAAATTTAAGTTTTTGGAGTGGGAGTACATTCATATGGCTAAAAAAGAGAAAATCATATGAAAAGGCATATGGTGAAAAGTAGACAGCTTTTTTTATATTAGTTTCTTATTTTTTCAGAGATTTTTATGCAAATATTTATATAAATAAGCAAACATGGCTCGGTGCCTGTAGCTCAGTGGCTAGGGCGCTAGCCATATACACCGGAGCTAGTGCGTTCAAATTCAGCCTGGGCCTGCCAAACAACAATGACAACTACAACCAAACAATAGCCAGGTGTTGTGGCGGACACCTGTAGTCCCAGGTACTTGGGAGGCTGAGGCAAGAGAATCGCTTAAGCCCAAGAGTTTGAGGTTGCTGTGAGCTGTGATACCACAGCACTCTACCAAGGGCAACAAAGTGAAACTGTCTTAAAAAAAAAAAAGCAAACATATTCTTATCCTTTTTTCTTACACAAAGGATAGCAAATTGTCATCTTGCTTTTTTTCTTTTCACTTAACTGGTGTTCCTAACACTTGATCCCAAATGCCTATCACCACCTGGCTGGCCCCCTACGTGTAAACAGTTCTGCTTAAACATAGTTGCAGGGAGTGGCTGGTAGGAGAAATGCTCTCCTCCCATTGAAGTTTGGGTTTTCTTTCAAACTATACAGATTGGATTTTTGCACCAGGTAGCTTGCTATGTCACTGCCAGGCTGGGCACCCAAAATTACACGTGTCAGAATCAGCGTCCACCTTGGAAGTGAGCCAGATGGTGGAGAAGCCGTAAGCACCCAAGGGGAAACATTTCATGCCTCGCAAGTAGCCCCCTGGCTCCATCTCCTTGTGAAAGAGACAGCTGGTGCGGTTAGATCTAGGGACGGCTCTCCTGCTCCGCTGTCCCTTGAGAATAGTAGTAATGGGCCTTCCATCTGGCAAGGGTCTCATTCCCGCGTGGGACAGAAAACCCTGGGGAACCCCTATGTAGAGGGGTCAGGGAGGAAGAACTGCGTTGCAGAAAGAGCTTGGCATCTCAGGTGTCCTCAGACCTGGCTCTGAACCTGGAGCCTGCTTTGTGCTCATCAGGCAACTTGGGTTGTCCCTTTAGCTTCTGAGCACTTTGGTTCCTTGAGCAGCCTTCACAGAAGGCTGAGTCACGCACTGGAATTCTCACATAGTGACTATTCTATCTATGTGTAAGCATGTGTGGTCTTTACACACAGACTTAGGTCACATACTTATTTACCCCTTATTTTAAAATGTTAAACACAAAGTATCAGTGATATTCAGTATTGCCTTAACTGCCTTTAAAGACACAAACACTCATCATAAGTGGGTACCTGTGAGCGTTTCATCTGTTAATAATTTCGAGCATAGTTGTGGCTGAGCATTTATACAGTGTGGCCATAAAGTTCGTGTGCAACTTAAAATAGTGTGCAATTGACAATCACACACAAACTTTACGGACACCCCATATATTGAGAACATTCTAATATATTTTATATTAGAGTTCAAGGGTTCTATTGATATTTTTGAAATTATATGCATAGGATGGTTACATCATCTATGATTTTTATTTGGGATCGTAGTAGCAGCAACATAAATTACTTGTTATAAAGAGGGGTTTCAGGCTTGATGGGGTCAGGAAATGCTGTTCTAGGAAGAACAAAAAGAATTTCAACCAATAGGGGAGAAATCTCAGGGGACCCTTCTTCCGGGGGGGGGGGAGCTATAGCAATCAGGTTTATGGGAACGTCCACCTTTTGTGGAATTTCTTTGAAAGTTATGCTAAACCTCTGAGTGTCAAAGTACTTGCCTACTCCCATGTGTAAAATGCCCGGGTGCAGTGGCCTTCCTACCCGACCGTGAGCTTCTGCATTTGTGCAGGGCATCACACCCTAAGCCCATTCTAACCAACAGGGCAGTGACTTTCAAATGGTGTGCTGTGAGAGGATCTAGGTGTGCCA